AAAAAGGGGGGGGGGGGGTACGCTCCTTGTCACTTGGTCCAAGAATCCATCAAAAAATGGCTCACATTTGAAGCTCTTACCTGATATGGCCAGGTTGTACATAATCGAAAATTATTTTTCACTAGTTAGTCCATCCTATTTTTTTTCTTTTCTTCATTCTTCTTCTTCCTATTTCACGACTTTGCACCCCAAAATTTCTCTACCATTATATATATTCTTCAATTCTCCTTCCAGATTCAAAGTTGATAATCACTATTAAGATGAAAAGAAAAAATACCACTAAAGAGAATTATTATTTTTGGAGTCATCATTAAAGGTCATTCGAAACTTCAATTTCAGAAATTGGATTTTTCGATTTTGTTAGTTGTTTGGATTGGATGTTGGCCCAATTGATTGGAATCGTCAAGGGGAGTTCAAAACTCAAATTTGAAGTGATTTGGAGCAGATTTGAGCTAGATTCGAGTTGAATTTCAGAAGATTCCCAAAGAAGAACCCCTGAAGCTCCATTAATAGGATTCATTTGTATAATAGTGTATAAGTAATGTATAATAATGTATACACACCTCTTATACATTATTTTATACAAGGTTGATAAATTATTTACAGGTATTTGGTGGATTTCTCACATTTCTTCTTCTTCTTCTTCTTCAACTACTACACCTATATACATGGTATATCACTAACATTTTCACTATTGTGCTTATACATCTTTATACATTTTTATACAACTATATATATAATATACCCCTTTGTATAAAAATGTATAATATTGTATAAAATGTATAAGCATCTCTAACGAACTTTTTGTACGATTTTCACTTGCGATTCTTGATTAAAACTATTCCAAATCTCCATTAAATGACTTCAAACTTTGTATACAATCTATTTAGACTAATTATAATAAGTTCAAAGAATACCCACTTCAAATTTCTCACAAAATCATATTCAAAATCTAACAAGATTAGTATTAAAGAAGATGAGATTTTAGATTTCTCGCGTCTGTTTTTGAATTTTCATAGTTGTGATAGGTGTCTAGAAACTTGAGGGAAAAGGAGAATGAAAATGTTTCACGCTTGAAGATATAGATCATAAAAAAACTGGAAAAAAATTCAGATCTAAGCTTATTGATATTTGGCTACACATTTGCAAACTTGTAAGTGGGCTAAAATAATGCAAGGTCAATTTATGAAGTGCATTATTATGTAATTTTGTCTAGAAAAAATAAGAAGAGATAATAAGCAGGAAACTATTATTTAATATCATCCATTAACCTAATTCATTTTTTGGTGAAGTTCTTAAATTATTTCAAAACCAAAATTATAAATCTCTTAATTTTATATGTGAATATTGAAACTGGGAAGGAAGAATGATAATTTTTGAATTTGGAGTGATGAAATTATTAAACTAAAATAAGTTTATTATTGGATATATATCAACATACGATTGAAAGATTTTATGCGGTGATTTTTTCTTTTATTGAGTAAGTACACAGGATCAACATTTATCACTTTCACAAACATATGCTTTTATTTTATAAATCAAATATAATATTTATATATTATTTTAATATTTTTTTTATTGAGATAGTGTACACGCGCAACGCGTGTATCATGAGATGTGTGTGTGTGTGTGTGTGTATATATATATATATATATATATATATATATATATATATATATATATAATCAAAATAAATGAGGTATCATGTGCAAGCTAACAAAACATACCTTCAACAATGATAAATCATACAACACATCACGAGAGAAATATAGGAAAAGAGACAAATATTTAGCATGATTCAGTTAGTTGATCTACATCCCACTCAAAAAACAATCTCACAAAGAAGCACATACAAGTGAAGTGAGAATCTAACACTTTTGTCTCAAAAATTGAGTATTCACTATAAAAGCAATCTAAGATTACACTTGCACTGCAGCTATACTATTTAAAACATTGAAAATCAGAAGAAGATTCTACCATTGTCTTCCTTAAACAATTTAAGGTCACGAAAAATATTTGTCTTCATAAGGCATCACAGCAGCTGTAAGGACTAAAACTAATTGACAACAAGTCGCAAAGCATCAATGTGAACTTATTGACAGCTCCTTTGAGTGTAAGGACAAAAACTGCAATTCACACATTCCCAATTGTAAACTTGGCAAATTTAAAGACAACATGCATTTTGGTCATAGTCAGACCAGAGAATTCACATATGCGAAGAATCATTTACCAAAAAGATATAGAAAAGGACAGAAATTGAGTGAAGAAAAAACTCAGCAGGGAACACAAATAAAGATGTTATGAAGCAAAAGAAAATTCAAAAAAGTATCATACACAAAGGATTTCAGTATTCACCATTAGAGTATTCACGTACCAACTGATGAGTGCAATGAGCGATAGAAATTGGTTGAACAATCTGATCAACTAGTCAGATAATCAGAACTAGAACCTTCCAGTATAAACATCAGATGGTTGTAAAACAGCCAGGGCAGAAACTACATACACGCTACCTATTAACTAAAAAAGATGATAAAGTTTTCATCCATCTCTGAGGTTCGCAAAAAAGGGGGCAAACAGGGCGTCTTTCGTGCAAACTAGATAGCCGAGTTCACGAGAGGTTTGTCTCTACAAAGTTAAGGCAACCCCTGCAGAATAATAAAAAAAATATTTGTAAGTTTCTCATAATCTCTTTTTATGAGTTAAATTTTATTGATTTAGTGGGAAAATCCAACATAGAAGATGTATGCAAAAGGTAGAAATCCTATAACAAAGCATATTTCTTTACTGATAGCATCAACACTAACTGGAATATTAGAAGCACTCCGTGAATATCTGAAGAACAAAAATATTTACAAAAAATCCTACAAGAAGGCATGTTTCTTTACGAATAGCAGCATCCAGTCATCAACGCTAACTAGAATATTAGAAGTGCTCCAAGAACATCGAAAGAACAAAAATGTTCCACTAATCTATACAACAAAATTTGTACTCCATCAAACATCTCTCTCTCTCTTTTCATTGTCCACATAGTACTAAAGGAGCTACTTCTTCCGTCCTCCCCTTCTCTTCCTTCTAATCATTTTTATCCTAGAAGCACCTTTCGTACAGTCCCTGGCATCACTTAATATACTCCACACTATACAGTATATAATATATGTCTACAGATGCTAAAATCATGACAAGTCAATTCATTGATCAAATATTGCTAGAGAAATTAACCAAGGAGGAAACCAAGAGTTGTATAATTACAATGAAACTTGTAATACTTTCATCAGTAAAGAGGGAGGAAAAACAGGGCATTCAAGGAGAGTAGCTATTCCAGATAGTCTTGATGTCTTCGAATGAATAACTGTAAGTATCTTGCTATTGAATAACTGGAAAAACAATGTCTCGTCTTACTACTCACTCTGCCAAGGAACAATAACTGGTGAACACTTCCAAAAACAAGAAGACTAAACAAAAACAGAGTTCAGGTATCAAAGATTAGAGATTTTCTATGTTTCCCTAGCTAAAAATGTAAAAGGTATCATAGCTCTACAGTTACTGGAGATCGATATGATATCACCTAATTTTCTGTGCCAACAAAACAAGAAGCTAGAAACAGCAGTGACGCACAACCATATCAACAAATTGCAGAGAATTAACTAAAGTAATCAATAGAGTTAGTTCACGTAGTAAATTAACACATCAGAGTCAACGTACCAAGTGATTGTATATTGTATGCCAGTATACCACATACATGCACATAACATATGAAAACTTCTGAAGCAATGACAACATCTAAAAGTGGGAGTTGACGATCAACACAAAGCAAGAATATAGTAACATAATGTCACGACCCAATTTAGGATTGTGACCGGCGCTTGGAAGCAAGTGTTCCCAAGTAAGTCTCATCGATAATTTTACAGAAAATTGGACAGAGTTTCCCCTGTTTTTGGACCATCCCAATAATTTTCCTGTCTCAAATCAACAACCAACCATCCTAATATAATACCAAACAATAGACAACTTGTCAATTAACCAATACAAGTCTCCACCATAACTAAACTACCAACTAACCACTAGAAATACTAATTTATCTCCATCTTTGATAAATGAGAACGATACTCAACATCAGACTATAATAACAAAAGAATACTCATGACACTAAAATAATGACTATAGAGCGACTCTAAGAGTTCAATGAAAAGACCATAACAATAAATAAAATCTCCGCCCACGCGAACAAGTGCGAGGCTCACCAAGAGCTATCAACCCGTGCACTCTAATTAACGAAATCATCGCCCGCGTCAACTGCTGTCTCTATAAAAAAAAATTAGCGGGGAATGAGTCGCAAGCTCAGTGAGTAATAACGCTTAACCACAATCATTTTTATTGGGGACAAGTCAGAAAACATGCTAATATCTCAAACAGAAAATAACATAAAAATGCACTTTCAGAAACAATAAATAGTTTTCAGTCTCATCATGCTTTTCTTGTAGTATAATACAATTAACAATTCAGTAATAAGCTCGATAACCACTGTTTAATGTCAATATTCAAATTTGGGAGGTTTCAACGAACGGATCATGTAATCGGTATAACTGTGGACTTCTTCGCAAGAAGTCAAATATAACGGTAGTCCCTACTCGTGGAAAATCGGTAACGGTATGCTAGTTCTACTTTCCCACTAGCGATGACTATAACTGTACTCTGTAATCGGTAAATACAAGGTGCGCAAGGTCTAACGAATCCGCCGTTAGCTACGGGATCCTTAAAAGTCTACTCCCATTTATATTTGTCTCTGTATCCATATATACTCATAGGAAAATATTTTTAAGACAATATAGGGCATTTCGATTCTTATCAAATCATGTAATTTCATTTCGATAACAATAAATTCAAATAACGGTAAAACATATCTAGTGACAGCAAGAATATTTAAAACAACGGTAATCATGTCAAATAACTATTTCGGTATCATATCGAGTAAAAGACTTGTCCCACATGCAACTCAAATTAATCGGTCATATTTTCATATTAAAAATCATGTGTAAATCATGCAGGTTATGAAAACACAAATTGCGGTAAGATTACTACTCACAGTACTCGTGCCGAAATACCAAATGCTTCACCTCGAGCAATTCGTACAAATTCCTCCTATCAATCTATAATTCTATAATATCGATCTCATGTTAATTGCCTCATTTAGGCTAAATTCATCAATAATTAAAATACTAAATCCTTCGAGTTTTTTTTTTTTAATTTTATCATGAATTCGCCGAATTATATTTACTCATGCTATAAGTAATTTAAATTAGTCCAAAATCTTTTGAATAAAAAGGTATTTATATGGTTTATTCCCTTTACTATTCAATTTTCTTAGTCGTGTGCATAAATTGAAATTAAATAACTTTACTGTTCATAATATTCCTTCTTAATATCTTTTGTACTCAATTTACCACATTCAAACCCAAACCGATATTGTCATTGCAATATAGTTAAACAGAAAAACTCAATTCTTGCACCCTAACTTAATTTACACCTAACAAAGATCATATATAATGAGACTATTTAAGTACAAATATATCAATACTCTTCTTTTTTCCAAGTGAATCTATCATACAGTAATATTGGCTAATTCAATTGCATAATTTGCCCAGAATAACTCTTATTGGTATTATATTTCTTATACTTTGTGAAACTATTTAAATATATGAACTGAGATAAAAGAATTACCAGAAGAAAAGAACCCAGATGAAAAATTAGAGCATTACCCGCAAAATCAGCGCGTATTTAAGATTTCTCAAGGTTTGGTTCCAGCCTTTTTTTTTCTTCTTCTTCCTCTCCCTTTGAAATCCCTTTCTGCGTTTTCTGAAGCAGACCCGTTTTCCCCTTTTCTTTCTTTCGTTTATTTTTTGTTTTGTTTTTGTTTCGTTTATTTCACTTTCCTTTCTTTGTTTATTTGTTGTTTCCACAGAATGGGCTTCGGCCCTTTATTAGATACTTATTCTTTTTTTTGTTAGTTTCTTATTATAATATAATATTATTATTATTTTGCTAATGACCAATACACCCTTATTAAAAATATAGGGTATTACATCCTCCCCACCTTATGACCAACTTAAGCCATACCTGTAAACTGAAACAAATGGGGATACTTCGCTTGCATATCTTTTTCTATTTCCCAAGTGGCTTCTTCAACGGTATGATTTCTCCATAAAACTTTAACGAACACAATCTCTTTTGACCGTAGCTTTCTTACTTGCCTATCAACAATTGCCATCGGCTCCTCCTCGTAAGACAACTTTTCATCAAATGGTATAGCAGGGGCTTCAATTATCTAAGATGAGTCTGATATACATTTCCTTAGCATTGAGACATGAAAAACTGGATGAATAAAGGACAACTCAGGAGGAAGTACCAAACGATAAGCCACAGCTCCCACTCGGTCTAGTATCTCATATGGTCCTATAAACCTGGGGCTCAGCTTGCCTCTTTTCCCAAATGGCATCACACCTTTCATAGGAGAGACTCGTAGGAGCACTTTGTCTCTAATTGTGAACACTAAATCCCTTCTTCTCTTATCAGTATAAGACTTTTGTCTACTTTGAGCTGCAAGCAATCTCTGTCTGATCAACTGGACATTGTCCATAGCTTCTTGTACTAGGTCGGGTCCCAATAAGTTAGTCTCACCAGCTTCAAACCATCTGATAGGAGAACGACATCTTCTACCATACAATGCTTCGTACAATGCTATTTGAATACTGGAGTGGAAGCTATTATTGTAAGCAAATTCATCTAAAGGTAGATAAATGTCCCAACTACCTCCAAATTCAAGAATGCAAGCTCTCAACATATCCTCCAAGATCTGTATAGTACATTCAAACTGCCCGTCTGTTTGTGGATGAAATGCAGTACTAAGATCTACTCGTGTACCCAATGCTTCTTGAAAAGATTTCCAAAAGCGTGAGATAAATTGTGATCCTCTATCAGAGATGATGGATATTGGAACTCCGTGAAGTCAAACAATTTCGTTCATAAATATTTGTGCATACTTGACTCCACCATATGTTGTCTTCACTGGCAAAAAGTGTGCTGATTTCGTCAGTCGATCTACAATCACCCACACCGAGTCATAACCTCTAAGGGTTCATGGTAGCTCGGTGACAAAATTCATAGTAATTCTTTCCCATTTCCACTCTGGAATCTCAATTTGTTGTAGTAGTCCTTCGGGTTGCTGATGCTCAGCCTTGACCTGCTGACAAGTCAAACAACTAGAAACAAAGTTAGCAACATCTTTCTTCATACGTTCCCACCAATAAAATTGCTTCAGGTCATGGTACATTTTTGTGGATCCAGGATGTATAGTGTATTTAGAGTTGTGGGATTCTTCAAAAATAGCATGTCTCAACCCATGTACGTCTGCTACACATAGCCTGTCACCCATTCGAAGAACACCATCACTTTCAACAATCATATCCTTGCTTTTACCAGCTAAGAGCTCATCTCTATATTTATATAATCGTTCATCCTCATATTGGGTGGCCTTAATGCGCTCGACTAATGAAGACTTAGCCTGAGCACAAGCCAACAATGCCTCTGAATTTCCGACACTAAATCTGATACCTGTATCTTCTAATCTCTGAATATCTTTAGCCAAAGGTCTCTTTGCAGGGGCTATATGTGACAAACTCCCCATAGATTTTCTACTCAATGCATCAGCCACCACATTGGCTTTTCCAGGATGATATAAAATAGAACAATTATAATCTTTGAGTAGTTCCATCCTACGATGCTGCCGAAGATTTAGATCTCTCTACTGAAAGATATACTTCAGAGTTTTATGGTTAGTATAAATCTCACAAGTTTCGCCGTATAGATAATGTCTCCAAATTTTTAGAGCAAATACCACTGCAGCCATCTCCAAATCATGTGTAGGATAGTTTTGCTCGTGCCTTTTCAATTGTCTCGAAGAATAAGCTATAACACGACCATTTTGCATGAGAACACATCCTAATCCCACCCTCGAGGTGTCACAGAATACTGTAAATCCTCCAAAAATTGATGGTAAGGCTAATATTGGTGCAATTGTCAAACATGTTTTGAGTTTTTGAAAGCTTTGCTCATATTCCTCCGTCCACTGAAACTTTGCATTTTTCTGTGTTAGCTTGGTCAGTGGCGCTACTATTCTAGAGAAATCCTACACAAAATGCCTGTAATAGCCTGCTAATCCTAAAATGCTGCGAATCTCTATAGGAGAAGTAGGTCTGGGCCATTTCTGCACATATTCAGTCTTCTTAGGATCTACCATAATTCCATCTTTGGATACAACATGCCCCAAAAATGCTACCGAGTCTAGCAAGAATTCACACTTCGAGAACTTAGCTTAAAGCCGATGATCTCGCAATGTCTGCAACACAGTCCTGGGATGATCCTCGTGTTCTCCTTGGCTACGGAATATATCAGGATATCATCAATAAATACTATTACAAATCTATCCAAAAATGGCTTGAACACCATATTCATTAAATCCATGAATGTCGCTGGAGCATTAGTCAGTCCGAAAGGCATCACGAGAAACTCATAATGCCCGTATCGAGTTCTAAAAGCAGTCCTAGAAATATCTTCATCTTTGATTCTAAGTTGATGATAACCAGAACAGAAGTCAATCTTTGAAAAGTGGGAAGCTCCTTGTAACTGATCAAATATGTCATCTATACGAGGCAAAGGATATTTATTGCGTATTGTTATCTTGTTCAACTGCTTGTAGTCAATGCACATTCTCAGAGATCCGTCTTTCTTCTTTACGAACAGTACTGGTGCACCCCATGGTGATACTCTAGGTCTAATAAAACCCTTATCTAACAAATCCTGTAACTGTTGCTTTAGCTCCCTCAACCCTGCTGGTGCCATTCGATATGGGGTAATCGATATGAGCTATGTGTCAGGTAGCAAATCAATACCAAAGTCTATTTCTAGTACTGGAGGCAATCCTGGTAAATCCTTAGGAAATACATCAGAAAATTCTCTCACTACTGGTACATTTGCTATACTAACTATTTCCTTTCTTGTGTCATTTACAATAGCTAAGAGACCCAAGCAACCTTTCTTCAGAAGTCATTGAGCTTTCATAAAAGATACAACTTTGCAAATCTCTGGAACCTGACTCCCTCTTAAAATAAAACTAGGTTCATTTGGTATCTCAAACTTAACTATCTTTGCATGACAATCGACTATAGCATAGCAAGAAGATAACCAATCCATTCCCATCAACATGTCAAAGTCAATCATATCAAGTACAATAAGGTTAACTAGAGAATCTCTATCCTCAACCCGAATCTGACAAGCACGATACACGTATTCAGATAACAGAGACTCTCCAACAGGAGTAGCAACTAGAAAAGGATCATTCAATAGCTCAGGCTATCTACTAAGCCTCAAAGCAAAGTACGAGGACACATAGGAGTGAGTAGATCTTGGATCAATCAACGCAAGTGCATCAAATGAACAGATAGAAAGAATACCTGTAACCACAACATTCGAGGCCTGATTATCCTATCTAGTAAATGCAAAAACTCTCTCCTGACCTCTACCAACATTCCCTTGTCCTTGATTCACAGTAGCACGATCTCCAGCACCTCGACCTCTATTTCCTGTACCTGTTGCACCTGAAGTATTACGAGTAGTCTGAGTCGGTGCAGCTGACTGAATAGAAGCCTAGTTGAAATTTTTCGGAGGCTGAGGGCAATCCCTCAAGTGATGTCCCAACTGGCCACACCGAAAACACTCTCCAGTTAGAACATGACATTGGCCCAAATGTGATCTACCACAGGTCTGGCAGACTGGAGAAGTGGCATATATCTGCCCAGAATTACGATGTCCAGAAGATGATGGTCCCCTATTACCTTGTCTGTAATGTGGTCTGTATGTGGGCTGTGAAGACATGTGTGTCCCTGTCTGAAAACCCTGTTGTTGTTGTCCCTGATTTCCTGCTCTTCTATTTTCACTAAAACCACCACTGAAAGCCCCTCCTGTCTTGGCCTTCTTATGTAAATCACTAGCTGCACACTCCTCACGTCCCTTGTTTTCAATCTTTATAGCAAGGTCGACTACATCAGAGTAGGATAAAGTCTTTATCTGTAGGGCTACTGCAGTGTATAGACGGCCAACCAATCCATCAACAAATCTCTGAACTTGAGTTTCTTCGGTAGGCACTAAGTGAGGAGCATATATAGCCAGCTTACAGAACTTAGTGGTATATGTTGACACATCCACATCTGGAGTCTGAACCAATCTCTCAAAGTCTCTAGCATATTGTTGCATCAGACTATCTGGAAGAAAATGATTCTTGAACAACTTAGTAAATTCGTCCCATGTTAGTGGTAGTGCTCCTGCTGTCCTTCCTAGCGATACCGTTTTATATCATGTGTTGGCCATATCCTCTAGTTTGTATGCTGCGAGCTCCACGGCTCTCTCACTAGAACATCCAAGAGCACGTAATGCCTTAAGTGTCCTATCCAAGAAACTTTGAGGATCTGTTAAATTATCGGAACCTATAAATTTTGGTGATTTCAATTTCAGAAACTCTTGTAGGGATACTTCCTTATTCCCGAAAGTCCGAGTCTGTGCAGGTGCTTGTGTTTGTAAAGTAGCCTGAGGAGCTGAACTTCCTCCCTGAGTAGGCACCAACGCCTCTAACACATTCAATAACCTTGCCACTGCATCTGCAGGTAAGGCAATAGTAGGTATAACAGTTAGCACTGGTGGTGGAGCGTTCTGAACTCCCTGCTCTTGCACTTCATCTGGCATAACAGCTTGGGTTTGACGCATGTTCCCAACTTGAGGTTGAGGGGCAGTCTGTGTCTTCTAGTTTGATGAACCCCAACTTGACCACCACCCAGGGTAGCATCAC